TTGAAGGTCTGCCCCCTCACCGCAAACATTTACCCCGCCACCATTTCCCCAAAACCCGGGTTTGGATTAGGGGATCGGGGGATGTGTTTTCTTTGATCTGTCAAGGGGAAAAAAAAATTTTTTTCTTTTCAGGGTGAAAATTTTTTATCGGCCCCGTTTTGGGCCCGGTTTTTTTGGTACAAAGGCCCCGGCAATTCATATGTGAATCTTGAAAAAACCAAACCCCCTAAAACCCCCCCCCCAAAAGTGATGATGATTTATGAGTTTTGGGATTGAATAAAAAATTTAAAAATTTTTATAAAAAGAAGTAAGATCCCTTTCGCTGTTTTAAAATGTCCAAAGATACTAACTGTTCCAGTCTTCGGTTTTGTTTTTTAATGGGTCTTGCCAAAAAGCATTTCCACTAAAAACTCCAACTCTAAATCTATATGTTACTTTAAAACGATCATGGTAAATTTTAAAAGGGAAGTATACTTTGCCCGAAATAATTTTTGCCCTAAAATAGCTAACCAAAGGGCCAAATTTCAGTCAGGTTAAAAATAATTTTTTAAATTTGGGAATTTTTTAAAAATCTTCTGTGTATGGCCCCGAATTTTAAGACTTTGCCAAAAACCCCCCCTTCCTTTCTGGGATTAGGGGGAATTTCCATTGTCTCAAATTAAAGGGTCAAAATTTCCTAAGGGTTCCTTATAAGTTCCTTGAATTTAGTGAAAGGGGTAAAAAGACATCCATTTAAAAAAGAACCTAAAGAATTTCACACTCATTTTAAAAATTTTCCCATTAAAGTCTATTTTTCCCCTTTTTTAGTTTTAATTTAAAACATCATCAGACTTTAAAGGGGAATGGAATTAAAATTGAACATAAAAACCCTTTCAATTTGGAAATTTAAATTTGGAAAATCTTTCTAAAAAGTTGTTACAGAGGCCCTCTAACTGTGCCCCACAAACGTCTTTCCCCTTAAATCGTTTGTAACCCAAAAATTAAATTTAAAAAATTTTAACCTGAACTCGGGTTGTGCCCGCAGAAATTTGTCCCCAAGTGCTTCTGGACCTTTGCCATCTTTGCTCCCCCTTGTGCAACATTCTCGCTTTTTCTTTCCCTTTTTCCCAAACCTTTTCCGAGTCCAAAACTCTGGAAAAGAGTTCCCGCAAAAAAACGTGCTTTTTTTCCCCAGGTTCTTTGAAATTTAATGCCACAAGCCGGTGGTTTTAGTCTCACTGGCGCTGTTGGTTTCGAGCTGGCCCCGGCTACCCGTTTTCACGATTGCGCGGAAAAAAACAGGGGGTTTTCCCCCCACTTGGTCCCGGGCCATCCCCTTTGTACCCGACCCGGGTTGCACCGCCGCTGTTAAAATTCTGCTGGGTCCCCGGGCCCCATTAGACAAAAGGGTTTGTTCTTCATCCTTATCGCTTTGGCACATTTAGGATTCTTCTTTGTACCCTCGTAAACTCAAGTGTCCGTTACAACCCAGGGGAGAAAGAGCATATCGATTTCTCCTGACCATGAGTGTTTCGTTGTCACGGGTTTTAAAGAGGTGGGTGCACTGGTTGTTATTGTACCTTTATGACCAGACAGGAGTCCCCAAAAGGGCCATTTTTCCTGTGCTTGAGGTTAACGAGATCGCCCCTTTTGATGTTAGGGGAAACCCCTGAATATCCCCGTGGGTGAGTTTTCTGGGGTTTTTTGGGGCTGGGTTCGTTTAGGCCTGATCTTTCGGCCCTAACCAAGCGGTTGGCCCTTTTTCCTCCCCCCGGGTTCATTTCAAGGACTCACACTCCACCCATACTGCATTTAAGGGGGAAACCCTCATCACCACAGAAGTCCTTTAGGGGGCGAGACAAAGTTGTCCAAACCCTTTTCCCCCACGTTTTGGGAGCTCGGCCCGGACACAGTTGAGGATATTTAGCAGATTTCCCCAGTTTTAAGCGCTTTAACATAGGGCGAAAATCTCTTCAAGGTCTATCATTATTTTCAGAGATTGCGAGTTGGCAGCAAAGTTTGCCAGGGAAACCCTCCATAACACCCCAGGGTAGGAACACACACAACACCCAAACACGACCTGAAGGAGAAAGGGCAAGAGGGAAAAGGGGGTAATTTAAAAATGATAAGAGGGGTTAATATCAGGTTGTTTAAAAGGTGGACTAGATTTATATGGCCTTTTAAACATGTTTAAAAATTGAAAGCCAAAAAAAATGGATAAAATCAAAGTAGGAGATCAAAATTACAGCGTGTTTGGGGGTTATATTTTGCTAAGATATTACCGCTTTTTCAAGCTTAAGTAATCTAGGCAAGGTCAATTTTAAAGTTTTTGCATTTTGTCGAACGCTGTTTAAAGCTAAGTTCCAGTCATTTGGTTCTCCTTCCTTTTGAGTGTGAGTGATGGTGATTCTTATGGATGATTTGAGGTGATTGGGCTTATAACAGGTGAATGTAGTTAGCATGAGATTTTGTCGTACTGTATTCCATATTGTCCCTGCTCTGTATATGTAGCTGTCTGATGGTTTAGGTGTGAGAATGAGTGTCTCTTTGCCAAGTCTGCCAGATGTTTCAAAGAGGGAGTATAGTGATATAGGGGTTCTATATTTCAAGACCTTGAAGATGTCATTAATACAATGGTAGAAGTACAGATTATGCACATTCATGATTTCATGAGTGTTGAAGAGGGGTTTTGTATGCTCCTTTCTGTAGAATTCCTTGCCCAGGATTTGCTCCCCGTAGGGTCTGCATCGTGCACTAGTTTTAAATTTATCCAAGTATGCTTCTTTATCTCCAAACATTATGCGGGCACACATTTTCTGTGCTTTGAACAGAGGTTCAAGTTTTTTGTTAGATGCCCCTCCCCAGACAGTTATACCATATGCAAGATAGCTTTCAAACAGAGTGTGATATAGATCTTTATGGAGTGATGTGGGAATGTTATCTTTAATTCTATTTAGCATGCCACAGCAGCTGGCTAGTTTTTTTGCTAATTTCCTTCTATGTGCGTTCCAGTTTAGGTCTTCATCGATTGTTACACCTAAGAATTTAGTTTCATGTACATCCATAACACCCCAGAGTAGGCAACCACACACAACACTAAACACGACCTGAAGGAGAAAGGGCAAGAGAAAATGGGTAATAATAATGATAAGAGGGTTAATATCAGAGTTGTAAATGTGTGACTAGATCTATATCGACATTTTAATCATGTTATCATTGAAAGCAAAATTATGGATAAAATCAAAGTAGGAGATCAACTTACAGCGTGTTTGAGGGTGTTGCTGCCCAGTGCAAGCACTGGGCGAGAGGAGCCTAACTCAAGGGTGAACTTCAGGAACCCCAGCGTACCCGCATACCAGGAGGTCGGCTGTACTTCCTAGCCCGTCATGCCATCGTACATGCCTAAAATTATTTGTTATATAGTAGTGTTGAAAGTATTAAATAAGAAAAAAGAAAAGGAATTGAAGTTGCAATGAGAGTAAATACCTGATGCATGATGCAGCCATCTGAAATCTGAAATCTGAAATCTGAAATCTGAAATCTGAAATCTGAAATCTGAGATCTGAAATCTGAAATCTGAAATCTGAAATCTGAAATCTGAAATCTGAAATCTGAAATCTGAAATCTGAAATCTGAAATCTGAAATCTAAAATCAGCAGCTGTCAGTAGTATTTGTATTATAGTATGGCCTGTCGTGATATCATGGTCACTTAAGTGCCACGAGGATCTGGTAGTCCTAATAATTCTGCAGCCTCTATGTATTAATCGTCATCTTGCACAACTCCTTAAGAATCTTAAGTGCTGGGCATGTGAAAATTTGCAGCTTTTCAGACATATATAGAATTAACGAGGTGTCGTTCGTCACCTCAATTAAGGTCAGGTAACAGGGAGCTGACCAAGACAGAACCCAATTGATCGGGTCGGAGGTCACGTGATTATGAGCCTGAGGTCACGTGATATATAACGTCACCAGAGCTTCATGTTCTCCGTTTCCCGCTCATTTGACCAGGTGATCTTGCATGCTTTTTATTTGTATCTGAAAATGTGAATGTAAGTGTAATTCTAATTACCTCCCATAGAAAGCCAAATAAATTTTCTGAGAGAAAGCTAGAAATTAAAAAAATATAATCGACCTTGTTACAAACTCATTTTGATGACCGTTCCTGAACTAAAAGTAAAATAAATATTTCAGAATATTCTAGAAGGTTATGGATTATTCTATGAGTACAGGGTAGGCAAGCCTGCAGCCTAACAATTATAATGAGTAATTCAGTAATTCGTCGCAACTTTATTTTTAGATAAAAATTCCAAGATTTATTGAATTTGCATTTTTATTGTTGCATATATGTTCATTTTCCACTTTATTATTATTATTGACGGCCCTTGCACAAACTAATCATTGAGGTTAAGACCGAGTATGTTTGTCTATTTCTTGCTTCTCCAATAATCAGATTAGATGATGGCGGTGCTTTATTGAAATAATGATCCCTGGAGGTCCAGTATAAATGTCTTGGGTCGCAGACTGACATTAACCATAAAATCGTTTTCGCAAATTCCACCTTATATTATTTTATTTACGTTTTTTTATTTACGTTTTTTTATTTACGTTATTCTATTTACGTTGTTTTATTTACGTTGTTTTATTTACGTTGTTTTATTTACGTTATTTTATTTTCGTTGTTTTATTCACGTTGTTTTATTTACGTCTGCTAAGCTAGGGATGAAATATCAAAATAGGCACACATTTTAAGTATATATTTTACTTTTTTATTAAAAGCACATTCAATTTAATACATATACAAAATTACTCAACTTGCTTGATTCTGCACTAGTTTGATCTTACACCCGAAATTGAACGTGAGAATCGGCTTAAAATATTCTAAAATTTTCAGAAATATGTTAAGATTTCCCTGATATAAATGATTAAACACAAATTTGTATTATTCTTATACTAGTTTGTAAAATAATATGTACATTATTAATGATAATATGATAACATATTAATTGTTTCATTTTTATTAAGTTGTAAGTGAGTGGTAAAACGTCATGACGATAACGATCATCATTTTGACGACCCTACTGTGGTCATCAGTCAAAGGTAACATTTTATATTATAAAATCTTTACTAGTCAGTGGTGATTACCACACACAGCTCACCGCCATTATCGAAGCTTGCAAATATCTCTCAACTTATAACAACACACACATCATCAAATGGTCTGACAGTCTCTCATCCATACAAGCTATATCCTCGATCTTAACGAGGAGTGGAACTACTAGAGACTGTTATGACATCCTCAATACACTCGGATCCACTAACACCTTAGAGATCATATGGATAGCTGCACATATCGGATTGTGGGGTAATGAAAAAGCAGATGAGCTGGCCAAGATTGGTAGAACCAGTGAATCCACTTTGAACTGCCCAATTCCACAATCTTACATCAAACGCCTGATCGACGACAAAGTCACTAGACTAAATCAGGAAACCTGGTTAACTGATGGACCCAGACACACCAAACTGACACTCGGTCACAAAAACATCAACATCATCAAAAATCTTAACACTACACTCAGCAACAACAGACAAAATTACAGAACTGCAGTGCACCTCATCACAGGACATTGTGGCTTAAACAAACACCTCCATACCATCCGCAAATCAAGCACCAGCGCTTGTCCGATGTGCGGCGACGAAGAGGAAACTATCTCACTCTTTCTAGGACAGTGTCCGGCTATTGCCCAAATAAGAGGTCAATATTTCCAGGACTATTACCTCTCCGTTAATGACATATTCGACAACCAACACATCTCCACTATTGTCAACTTCACAAACCACACAAAACGCTTAATTGTGCCAGAGGAGCTGGACCAGACTGGTGTAACATAGCGACTACTTACACATCGTCTTAGCTCACCTTTCCCTTCCACGCCCAGCTGCCACTTAAGCGTACATACACGACACATCTTACAACACTTACCATCATCCTACATCACATACTAGGAGTAGGACTGTCATGCCCAAGAGGTAGGCAAAGCATCCACATGCTATCCTCTCGTGGGCCACCCAGTCCCAGCCTCTCTATAAAAAAGAAAGATAAACACCCTCGATTAATTTGTAACCTTCTACGATGTTCACAGCTGAAGATATTTGACAAACAAGAAAAAGGTAAAAAGTGGCAAAAGTAGCAAAAAGTGGCCTTAAGACATGTGGAAAATTTTGGAAAAGTTAATCAGCCTAATAACGTCATAAATCCTTTGGAAACTTCTTGTGTCGGTAGATCGATTTTTCCAGACGATCTGTAGCTGTACTATAGTACTATCTTTGCACTCTGCACTGCCAATGTCCATATCACGCAAAATATAGACCTTATAAGGTAATCGTGACGTCACCTTTTCCATGACAGTTGGCACGAGTACTGAATAGACTGTGCCTGCAGTCACGTGAGGCACGGATTTTTAGCTAGGCGGGGCTTTTGAAAAGCCGTGCGCGACGTGCCTGATGAGTTGACGCGTATCGTTAGCACGCGCTATAAACACAATATGTACCTATGGTCATTACATCTGACCACACCATGACAACAGTCATGGTGACAACAGTCATAGTATGGTCGGGCCCTTAAATTCTGAGAATAAACTAAGGGCGACATTCTTACAATTCCTTTACAATTTTGCTACGACACCTCTTCTTTAAATTCATGATATTCATTAATCGTTGCTTAGTAGTCATGAGTTAAACATACAATTAACAGGTAATTGGGGACCAGTCGTACGTGGCGTGGAAATAGAGTGGGATCTTGAGTCGACACCTTTAGAAATTAGCACTAATAGTGAGCTGGGGAGCGGCGATAAGGTGAGAGTGTTCTTCTACTCAGCTGACAACAAGTATGCAGGAACACTCTTGCTCAACTTCCTCTCTACTGTACAATACGAACTTTCATGGTGTGATAGCCCAATGACTCCCTTTGATAATGATCTCCCCTCTGCTATTGACAAAGTGTGGCGTATCACACTAACCAGGACTGCAGGTGTTAGACTAGTGATACACTGTAATGAGGTGGAGGTGCTCAACATACTGCTCTCTGAAACGTGTAGTGACAATGACTGGAGCACGTACTGGAACAGGGACGTGGCAAAGATAAAGTTCGAATCCACCGACACAGCATCTGATTACTACGGAACAAAACCAGGTGACTAATAACAACAAGCATTGGTTTAACAAAGTAGCAATAACTTTAATTTATAAATAAACCACCTTGCTGATTTTCTCGTAAGCTCGTGATTACGTGTTTTCTGTCTAAATTTCAAGTGTGTTATTTAACATAATATAACACATAATACATATAATTATATAGGATATGTGATATAGGAGTATGGGTTTTGGTCAAATATCATCTCTTTTTGATTATAATGTCAGAATAATTTACAAAGTTGAAATGTAAACGTATAACTTCATTAATATTAATATTAATGGGAAAAGCGAGCGACTGAGTTCATTATTGGTATCATTTAGCATTTGCAGACGGTCAATCAATTTAATATAATTTCCTTTTGTGTGGGAAAGAGAGACACTGGCAGCGGTCCACTCTACCCATGATTATGGGTTTTGGCCAAATAACGTATCCGAATAAACATAAACTGAAATACTGACGTCAACAAGCAAAGATTAGTAATTGTAAATTTGATATTATGATACGATATGAGGTCCCATCACAGATGCTCGAAATGAATTCCTGTGAATGAAATGCAACTATTGTATGTCTGTATGTGAACACCCGCTCACACTTTGACACCTATCCAATATTCAAATAAAAGCGAACCATCCCTAAATTCTAAAAGGATACTTCGAATCTTAAGCTCCTTGCCAGCGGCGAAACTTGCAACTAATACTTGATTAAACTCGACTATACTTGCAGAAGATTGTCCTGCGGGCCAGTTTCTGCAGCTGGCATATCTGTACTGTACAGAGTGTCCGGCAGATGAATGGAGTGCACCAAACATAGATCCTACCTGCACTGCCTGTCCAACTGGAAAAGGGGTAGCCTCTGGAGCAGGAACACAAGAAAGTGACTGCACATGGAGTAAGTTGTTGTTTCCTAAAAATTTGAGGGACTGAAGGGTTCAACGGGGTTCATCCTTAAATTTATGTTAATCTTAGAAATGCAATAATGTAAGCGAATAAACATAAACTGAAATACTGACGTCAACAAGAAAAACGTTCTTGAACGTTAAATAGCTAACGTTGGTTAAAGGTTTTCTTTTTAACGTTGCGAAACGTTTATGCTTTAACGTTGATTAAGGTTGCTTTATTCAACGTTGAAAATTAAACTGCGTTTTAACGTTGGATTTAGATTGTAAATAAAACGTTCTGGAACGTTTAATGGTCAACGTTGGTTAAAGATAACATTTTCAACGTTGGTGATGCAAGGTTTACCTAACTTTAAAACAACGTTCAAAACCAACGTTGGAAAGTGTATTTTCCACTATATGGCCTCTATACGGCCTCTATACGGCCTCTATACGGCCTCTATACGGCCTCTATACGGCCGTATAGAGGCTGTATAGAGGCCGTATAGAGGCCTCCTTATTATTAAGGAATAATTTTATTCAAAATTTGAGGAGACTTTGAAGTTCAATAATTGTTGAAGCATTCTGAAAACCTACCGTAAAATTTCCTAGCTTGCTCCTTCATAAGTATATTTGCTATTGTCATTGAAGTTAGTGCTTTTTTGAAGAAAATTTTATAAAAACGCCAATTTTGCGATTTATTATTCTCTGGTGTTGGGCCATGCCTTGGGTTTTGGAGCTCAGTTCTGCCTCCTGTAGGTCTAAATTGTGCATTAGGCTAGTTTTGAAGTTGAAAATCGAAAAGTTGCGACACGCCCAAATTGATATAAAATTGCTAAAATCACTGAAAATTGCTGTTTTCGTGAAAAAAAAGCGAGCGACCGAGTTCATTATCGGTATCATTTTGCATTTGCAGACGGTCAATCAATTTAATATCATTTCCTTTTGTTTGGGAAAAAAAGACACTGGCAGCGGTCCACTCTACCCATAATCTAAACTCGACTATACTTGCAGACGATTGTGCTGAGGGCCAGTTTCTGGATCAGACAACTGGCTGTACAGACTGTCCGGCAGATGAATGGAGTGCACCAGCAAACACAGATCCTACCTGCACTGCCTGTCCAACTGGAAAAGGGGTAGCCTCTGGAGCAGGAACACAAGAAAGTGACTGCACATTCAGTAAGTTGTTGTTTCCTTAAAATTTGAGGGACCGAAGGGTTCATCCTTAAATTCATTTTAATCTTAGAAATGCAATAATTGTAAGCAAATAAACATAAATAATAAGTATATATATATATATAAATTATATATACAGGGTGTACCATAGTAAGTATTGTAGTTAGACGGGTTCCTGCTATTACAAATAATCTCAAGATGTGTTTGTGTGTGTGTGTGTGTGTGTCTGTCTGTGTGTTTGTGCGTCTGTGGGAAATTTCCGAACGCTTAATCAAGAAAACGGTAAGAGTTACGGGGCTGATTTTTTTCGGTATAGTGCCGAGAAAACTCTGACGGAGCTAAATGATAAAGGTTTTTTTAAATCGGTTGGTGGTAAGTGATTTAATTGATCATTTTGTGACCCAAATGTGATACTGTGTCGGTGTTCTCTCCCGTTCTCGCTCTCTCTCTCTCCTCATAATAGATTTGCTATATAATTAGGTAATTTGGCAGTGGACCTCAAGAGTCAAGATTGCCTATCAAGTATTAATATTAGAATTAGATACGCGAGGGGAATTTAGAATTAATTTGCAGTGTGTTTGGATTGAGCGATTTCATACTTTCGCTCCGTTTTAACTACGAAAATGTAATTTACTTTTCAGAATATATTAGTCGGGATTATAAAAATGATAATTCAATCAGAGTGTATTCGACAATTTTTAACTCGGTTTCTTATTATGGGGTGATGACATTACGTGACAGCTGTAATCATCGAGAGTAAGATTGGGTACATAAATCATTGCCTTACTTAACACATGAACAATTGCACGTTAATGGCGTTCCAGTACTTGAGTACTACTAGTAATTAGTTCCACCAACTACATATTCTGATAAAGTTCGAGAATCTTCTTTACAATATTTATGTTTTCGTCCATAAGTTTGTTTACATCAGATAGACTAATAGTGGTGATAACTGCATCCATTAGAGCTCGTTCTTCCGTACTAAAAATATTTGTTAAATATGATCAAAACACAAAGCTTTGAAATATACTTTTTTCTGTTTGAGATTTGAATAACGTTACTGTAATGTTCCAAATTATATTTTAAATGTTTTAAAAACATTCATTATGATTAGGGGGAACATCGTGCCAGCTAGCTTTGTTCAACATTACCATGAACAAATATTCTGATTGTCATTCTTCTAGCGTGTTTCTTGGTTATTCTAAATTATTAAATTTACTGATTGCAACATAATACTATCACATTGCTACATCTGACACTGGAAACACGGATCATAGTCGCCAAAGACACTTTTTCAGTCGAGTAGATATACCAAATAAGTTATGATGTTTATCGACGGGTGGAGGGGGGCTTGTCGGTAGTTTGATGCAAAACTGGCGGGTAGCCAGGACTTTCTATTTTTATTAATGGACATGTTCATTGGAAGTTGAGGTTATTGGTACGCATACAGAAATATTAACCAAGCATGTTCAGAAGTTCTCAACAAAGAAACTTTATTGTTGTTATGCACTATAATGTTGCAACTTTACATTTTTGTGAATCTGTTAACTATTATAGCTGCCTATAGTTTAAGTTAACAGTATAGTATTCCTTATCCTAAAATGCAGTAGATTATTAATTAGATCAATCTAACAATCATAAAACATCATTGGTTAAAGAGCAGGGATTTGACGGTTATAAGGCAAGATTCGGTAAACTTTGTCGCACACTCAGAATATGATACCTATTTTCTACTGTGTCCTAAAAACTTTATTATATCAGGCTTCACCTATGAATAGAAGAATCGTCCATCAGGAAGATGAATAATTTTGCAGTGCCAGTATTTTGTCGGTTCCATTCGATATTATCTTACCCATTCAGTTAAATTTTTTAACATTGAAGGACAAATTAACAGTTTAACGTACAGGAGTTAAGCGAACTAAGATAATCGAATAGTTGTAATTACTTGTTTATAGTTTCCAAATATGAATGTAAGATGTAAGATTTGTGTCTGTTCGTGGCCTTGCAATAATTAGTCAAAGCCATAAAAAATAGATCATGCCGATATCTTTCTAGAATGAAGGTATCTTTTACTAAATTAAATTTCCCTTCAGAAGAAGATGAACAGGGAGACAACCAAAACTACTCTGATGCAGCAGCCCTGAAAGTCAGCTTAATTTTCCTCGTCGTTCTCCCATGTTTGCTGTAAATATGAGCATCTAAAATTGTTGTGGGCTTGAATGGTTCTACGGTACAAAACACTATTTTAACATGGTGTTTTATCGGGATGTGATAGAAAAATAACAACTCAAAAACCCTGACGAATCTATAAATTTGTAATCTATAATTAAACTTTTGATATTTAAAATTTTAATATTTTAGACAACTTTTAATGCTTTAATAAAAAATAAAACTAAAAGAAAGAGACTGCGATTCAGTAATTATTGATATTCATTATATGTTTATTCAGAATACTTATTATATTTATTGTAATATACATTTTTTTCCCGATCCATGACTCTTGTGTCAGGACTAGGAACGTGAACGAAGCTTTTTTTTATTTGGACCGAGTTAAATTGTTATAAAGCAATGAAAGGCATTAGTTTGGTCAAATCAAACAGAACATATGCTATCAGACTTTCAACTGAGTACAGTAGGGTTAAAACAGTTTCGACGCTAGCAACGATCCCCTTTTACATAGTTCCTCTAAAATGATAATTTAAGATTAAATATGTATAGTGATAGGTAAATAAAGTCAAAAATGTAATAAAACGGTAGGGATAAAGTATACTGAAACTAAGTAAACGTAGTCGACACTTGTCATACGTTGTATGACCCGCCGCGCACGAAGTGCGCGGCTCCCCCTGTATCGTCGTTTTTCTCCAGAGCAGCCAGATCCTTCCTAACCTCAGAGCACTCCCCCTCCTCCATACCTTCTTTTACGTACCAATGGACGAAGGCTCTCTTGGCATACATAAAATCGAAATTGTGGTCTGCAATCATACGAGCTCAAGCCTCAAAGATGGCGATGGTGTTGGACAACATCAAACATGCACACAGCCCTATGTATACACAGTAAAGAGGCGAGTTTTTGTGGTTCTACAACTTAAGATGTATTGTAGGTTTATAAACTACGCGCGCCAAGTTGGACTCGTCGATGGAACAGATAAATTTTACGAGTATCACCCGTTAAAAGATGTAGCATTGGTGGTTTATATTAACATTACGGGCCCAACTTTCACCTTCCCACAATAAATTTTCCTATAAATAATTTAGTGTATTAAAATCATAAAAATATCTAACCTACGTTGAACAGTGTATAAAATAAATTTTAAAATCAAGTAATATCAGACGAGTATTAAATCCACCAAAAGTATATTATAGACTGACACAAAACAAACACTGCAATCCAAAACTACCCCGTACTGTTGTCAAGCACAAATAGATAGCAATTCACGGATGAGTGTTTACTTGGGGAGCTCAGGCTATTATGTATTATGTTCATAAACATAATAGAGATTCGGCGGAATGACAGGCTGAGCGCGGCCCAGTAAATGAGTGTAAGTAAAGCCCTCAGTCAAACACAGTATTGAGATCATCAATATTACCGTATTTGTTACTAAAATCATGCTTCTTGGAAATAGATATAAACCGACGCGAGATTTCAGCAATTTCTTTTTAAACCCTAAACTCACAAACTTATCTACGATATTCCTCAGTCTATCAGCAAAACCATCAATATCTGAACATATTCTAAAATATCGAATAATTTGTGACAGAAAGACACCTAACACAGTACTCCGTGGAACATTACTTCCTTTATACCAGAAAACTGGACGATATGAAACGGAAAATCGTCACGCTTATCATAGACGCTAACTTTAAATTTACCATCAACAATACTCACATTAAGATCCAGAGGCGGCTCGTGGGAGCTGGCTGGCAGTTTTGTTGGGGGTCCAATCGATGGGGGCTTGGGAGCCGGCTCAAGCTAATCCGTCCAAACTACCGATTACATTACACACAGGGCCTTGTAAATGTAATGTGTAACACTTTACAGGCGACAGCAAACAACTAAACAAAAACAGAAACTTATAACATGGGTGAAACAGGACACCACACGTGTACGATCTCAGCCGCGTAGTATCATATAGCAGTCAAATTGCAAAGGGTCCTGGACCCCCAAATTGAGGCAAATCATAATAGATTACCTGTAGTGGGATGCGCACGATGTGCTTTGTAACGTTTACAATTAACTATGTGTTAAAACTGCGCGGCTGAGTAGTCCAGAGGTACTGGTAGGATTGGACTCCCTACAACACAAAATTTCACGAAGATCATGCGTGCGCTTACATTAAAACGTATGATAGTAAATGAAGACCTTTATATTGCGATTTGTTATTTCCTAACACTTTACACTATTACTAATTATTATTTCTATTTTAAGCACCAGCCACCAGATAATAATTTTAAGGCGTCCACGGACGCCTGGACGCCCTCAATAGCCGCCTCTGTTAAGATCTAATACATTAGCACTAGAATCTTCATCATTCTCTTTATTCAAAGTTAGGCTAGTGGGATAGATATTCCCGACATGCTGACCAAAAACACCATTTGAATTAATAGACGTGATATCATCGATCAACCTGAAGGTTTTACCTAATATCCTAGCACTGAAATAGTCACGTTTGTATAACTTTTCAAGGTACTACCCATTCTCATAGTACCACAAAGTAAGATTAGCAATATAAGGACCAGGATCTACTCCAATAGGAACACCAATTATTTGGCGGAAAACTTGGCTACCCATAGTAAAATAACAATTATCGATCAGAAAATTAACTGCTTCGATAAAAGAGTTCTCGTCGAAAGAAAAAGTATTATCCCTTGGTTTATTGACCCAAGCAAAAGATTTACTATAAATTGAAATATATTTACATTTATAGCATGCTTGAATATCAACTTAATAACACTAAAAAGAGCTGTCTTAATATTAGAATGGTCAAGATTAGTATATAGAGTACTAAAATCGTAAGTCTGTATGTTCCTAGCAAAATCTGTATTAGCAAAACAGTTTATAATATTATTGTCTATAATCCAATTCCTATTAACCCCTGCAACTTTAGGAATCATATTAGAGTAACTGATACCTTTATTATACACAGCTTTAAGTCCTAAAGTAATCCGTGAGGCTAAAGGTGACCCCCACGGTCGTTCCACTTTATCGTCCTGACGATACAGGGGGAGCCGCGCACTCGTGCGCGGCGGGTCATACAACGTATGACAAATGTATGTAACTTGGAAATATTACTTCCGGGAACAACTGTTGGTGGCTGGTAGTTGATACAAACCTTCAATCCAGTGGGACACCAGTCAGTTTAAGTTGTATTATTTAAATACATTTTGTGTAATTTCATTTCCAATCAATTCCTTGACAATTTTTAATTGTTTTCTATTAATACTACAGCAAGCAGACTACTAGTACTAATTTCAGTGTACAGGCTGATTAATGTAACTTCAGGAAGGCGCGACAGTGAAAACAGTTGATAAAGGGAAAGACAAGCTACGCGCATTAATGCTAAAATGTGATGCTTTTGGCGGAGATATAAACAGAAACTGCGCCTTATAATTACGTAAAACGTATTAAACGGAATTAAACGGAATTAAACGGAATTAAACGTAAAGTTGTCGGAGATGGCACTAACACCATCGTCTCGACTATACATGAATGAATAACATACCTAGAGTAAGTAAAATTCGAATTTCAAGAATCATGAAAATTTAAAACAAAATCACTTAAAATCTAACTCCCGTACAAACAACCGAAATAGAAATAATTGCTGAAATAATAATTTAACATAAGAGGAAGTAGTAAAAGGCAACTTCAATGATCACTAAACTGCGATATCAGTATTCGAGTCCACAAAAGACACATTCATACTCGAACAGTCCTCCCACTCGCAGTCACAACGTACTGGAAACAGTAATCACTAGTGTTCCATGCTCGTACAACTGATCGTGAAATCTGCATAATGATGGTTGATCTGTATTATGTCTGTTGAGTTGGTAGTCCTGATGGGGTGACAGGCAGTATTGGCGTCTTTTTCGGGTTCCTGATGCGGTGGCAGTTGCAAAGGAATTTGCCCAGTTCTTGCACATGGGCAGAATTCATGATAGCTCCGTATTCCTTGAGCAGCAAAAGACTCTTAAGGTTTTCCGACAGTGAGAGTCTCGCTGAGTGGTACATTGGACATTCAGTGAGGCAGTGTTCTTCATTTTCAATGATTGTTCCTTCGAAAAAGGGGAGATATTCTAAGCCTTGAACGTTCTCCTTGTTGCAGCAGAATCTGCAGGCTCTCGTCCACGTTCCAGTTTCTTTTGTGTATCTCCCTCTCTCAATAAGGAGGTCATGGCTACTGGAGCGGATTTTTGCTATGTGCATGCGACATTGACTATTCTTTAGATTGAGATACTGCTCCTCTCCGAATACCTGTTTGATAGTGCAGTAAAATTGCATTTTCTTTTGGGATGCTAAATCTGTTCTCCAATCTTTTACAAAGTGGTCGACCAAATTTCCATGTGCAGTTGAGGTCGTTCCCTCTGCTCTGCGTTGGTCGGATCGAGCGAATTTGGCCGCTTTGGATTCAGACTGAGCGATCGAGTTCCAGGTCTTATACCAAGAGAAGTTTAGATTCTTCTGCTCTTGGAATGTCTGATTTACAAGAAAGTTGACGCTGCTCACGTCGGGTGATGTCTGAGACAATCTGTCGAAGTATATCAGGCATTGTGGTAGTACCGACAGGGCCCATGGTAACCTGCCCGTATCTCCGTAACAGAAGTTGTTGTTAGCTTTCTTGTGTAAGCCGAGCACCCACTTCAGCATTTTCAGGTGTGCTGTCTCAAGTGCGTCCTTTGTTGCAGCTCTAGCAAGGTTCTGTCTTGAACCATCAGCACAAGCCATCTCCTTTGCCATTTTTGTACACGGTAGCCATATCTGACAGGCATGCGTAGCGACTGGTTTAACGAGGCTGTCTATAAGCTTGAGCATGGTTTTTGTTGTTAATGCTCGAGTGTCGACCATGCGTCTGATCGAGAAAAATGTTAATGATGATATTATATAATTAAGTACATCATTATTCATTAAATACCATACTAACGGAATCTAATCCATTCTAGGAAAATGATGTGATCTTGGAGGCTATTCGTCTACTCGACGTTGGTGGTTGCTCTACGGTGTACCAGTGCTGCTAGCCACGCCAGTTGCGGTTGTATGTTGGTGGACTTGTGTTAGGAGTCGTGTTCTTCGGTGTGACAAGTGTGTACTATCGGTGAGAAGATAGATTACAGTTGCAGTTTACGGTCGGTGTGACCAGTGTGTGTACTATCGGTGAAAAGATAGATTACAGTGTACGGTCGGTGTGACCAGTGTGGACTATCGGTGAATATAAGTCAATTGGATTGTACTTAAGATAGATTCCAGTACGAAGGACTTCAGAGAAGAACTCCACAGATCTCAACAGAAGACAAGTAATAGTGTCGGTGTATTGTAGAGATCTCAACAGAAGACAAGTAATAGTGTCGGTGTATTGTAGTAGAGAAGTTACATTGATTGATAGTGATTTGGATACTTTATATAATTGAAGTAATTGAGTTATTATATATTGAATTACTATTTACCTTTGTTAGTCATTGCAGTGAGAGTGCGTAGTGGAGTGTGTTATTTTGTAAAGCAATTGACTAGGAAAGTTTCACGTAGTACAATATTGTGTATTCTCTCATTATCATTGTTCAAGTAGATAGTATTGTGTATTATCTAAATTTAATTATTCCAGTTTTATAATATCGTGTTTATCTTATTATCATTGGTAGCAGGTAAAGAAAAGATAAAGACATGGGAGGAGACCAACCACCTTTGTTGACAGAGGGGATGGATTACTTGAAGTGGAAACGTGAAGTCGGCATCTGGGAGTTGGGAACTTCAATAGCAGCTGCTAAGCAGGCAGCGGTGTGTGTCTTGAGGATCCAGGATTTCAAGGCAAGAGATTTTGCAACACGCTTAGATGTGACAGAGCTCAAGAAGACTGAAGGTTTGAAGTACTTGATGGCAGAGCTTGATAAGTATTTTAAAGAGGATAATACTCAGAGTATATTTCTAGGTATTGAAGATCTAGAAAAGTTTGTTAGACCGGAACAAATGAAAATGGCAGAATATATCGCTGAGTTCAAGAGACGATTGAACCGGATCGGAGAGTTGTTTAATGACACGAAAGATATTTATCATGATGGGATGTTGGCATACAGGTTGTTAACTCAGGCCAACCTGACCAAAGATCAACAGATATTGATCAAAGCTGCAATGGGGACTCAAGAGTTGACAAGTAAAGCAATTGAGGAATGTTTGAAGAGGTGTTTCGGTGACGCTGTATTTTGTCGTAGATCCAGAATGGAGTTAGACACAGTAAAGATTAAGGTAGAACCTGGATCGGATGTGAATTACCATAGGGGTCAGTTTAATGAAATGGATACTGACATCAGTGGTGATAACGGAGAATATGCATTCTATCAAGGATACAATAATCAGAGGCGGCTCGTTAAGGCGTCCAGGCGTCCACGGACGCCCTAAAATAATTAATCGGGAAAAAATTGATTAATGATGAATCGAACAAAAAAGTTTAGCTCCGCGGTTAAGCGCGTAAATATTAGTTTTCATTTTAATATAAGCCGCGCAAAAACATTCTCGCCAAATCAGTCTTGAAATTTGTAATTTTTACTCCGCAAACGTTCAAGATCACGCGCACGTGACTGCTAACGCAAGTACGCAGGCACGGCAGGTTGACAATTTGTCAGGTGGTCGGTGGTCCAGAGAGGTGGCTGGACTCCCTGAAAATCTGGATTTGACACACAATCAATTGTAAACTGTACAAAGCAAATCAGTGTGCGTCTCGCTGTATAAATTGATGGCTTCACTCCAGATTTGGTGGTCCGGGACCCCCGACCCTTTACACCAAACATTTGAGGGCAGAGGTGCGCGTCACTTACACTGCACGTGTCGAATCGACACGCTCATATGGACGACTCCTTTCGTTGTACTTGTTGTACGTGTTCATTTCTCCCGTTTTAATTTTCGGTTTGCTGTTCGCCGAGTTTTCTGTTTTGATATTTGCTGCGTCCTGTATGCTTATTTATAATTTAAGTGTTAAGTAGGTTTTAACTTTGAATTAGTAAAATCAAAAATGTGAATAATAATTAATATTAACAGTAACTAACATTTAACACTGATTCATCAGTCAATGTCGACATTTAATTTCTCCAATTGCAACGTGTCGATCCGTGGCGACCCTCCCAGAGGCGGGTCTGGGAGGAGAAACCGGCCGAGGGCGAGACTGTGTTATCGGTACGTTAAACTTTTAAAGTTTAACTTTTGTTCATTGTTGTAACAACTAACATGTAATTAGTAATTACTAAATAGTAAATACTAACTTGGAACTCCAGTCTTCTGTCATTTTCTCGATTTAATGTTAAATGTTTATATTCTACCATTGCAAGTTGAAGTGACTGGTGAGTAAAACAACTCAAAGATTAAAGATACAAATTTTATTATTTAGGCTAATGGAATAATTAATTTCAGCTGTCAGAGACCGGGACACCTGGTCAGGGACTGCTTGGATCCCTACCGACAGCCCCCACCCACCCTGCCAACCAACCCCAAGCAGCTCCCCACCACCCTGCCAACCAACCCCCCAGCAGCTCCCCACCACCCTGCCAACCAACCCCCCAGCAGCTCCCCACCACCCTGCCAACCAACCCCCCAGCAGCTCCCCACCACCCTGCCAACCAACCCCCCAGCAGCTCCCCACCACCCTGCCAACCAACCCCCCAGCAGCTCCCCACCACCCTGCCAACCAACCCCCCAGCAGCTCCCCACCACCCTGCCAACCAACCCCCCAGCAGCTCCCCACCACCCTGCCAACCAACCCCCCAGCAGCTCCCCACCACCCTGCCAACCAACCCCCCAGCAGCTCCCCACCACCCTGCCAACCAACCCCCCAGCAGCTCCCCACCACCCTGCCAACCAACCCCCCAGCAGCTCCCCACCAGCCCTGCCAACCCACCCCCCAGCAGCTCCCCACCACCCTGCCAACCAACCCCCCAGCAGCTCCCCACCAGCCTCCTACCCACCCCCCAGCAGCTCCCCACCAGCCTCTACCCATCCCCAGCAGCTCCCCACCAGCCTCTACCACCCCCCAGCAGCTCCCCACCAGCCTCCTACCCCACCCCCCAGCAGCTCCCCACCAGCCTCCTACCCACCCCCCAGCAGCTCCCCACCAGCCTCCTACCCACCCCCCAGCAGCTCCCCACCAGCCTCCTACCCACCCCCCAGCAGGCTCCCCACCAGCCTCCAACCCACCCCCCAGCAGCTCCCCACCACCCTGCCAACCCACCCCCCAGCAGCTCCCCACCACCCTGCCAACCAACCCCCCAGCAGCTCCCCACCACCCTGCCAACCAACCCCCCAGCAGCTCCCCACCACCCTGCCAACCAACCCCCCAGCAGCTCCCCACCACCCTGCCAACCAACCCCCCAGCAGCTCCCCACCACCCTGCCAACCAACCCCCCAGCAGCTCCCCACCACCCTGCCAACCAACCCCCCAGCAGCTCCCCACCACCCTGCCAACCAACCCCCCAGCAGCTCCCCACCAGCCTCCAACCAACCCCCCAGCAGCTCCCCACCACCCTGCCAACCAACCCCCCAGCAGCTCCCCACCAGCCTCCTACCCACCCCCCAGCAGCTCCCCACCAGCCTCCTACCCACCCCCCAGCAGCTCCCCACCAGCCTCCTACCCACCCCCCAGCAGCTCCCCACCAGCCTCCTACCCACCCCCCAGCAGCTCCCCACCAGCCTCCTACCCACCCCCCAGCAGCTCCCCACCAGCCTCCTACCCACCCCCCAGCAGCTCCCCACCAGCCTCCAACCCACCCACCACCGGCCCCCCACCAGCCTCCAACCCACCCCCCAGCAGCTCCCCACCACCCTGCCAACCAACCCCCCAGCAGCTCCCCACCAGCCTGCCAACCAACCCCCCAGCAGCTCCCCACCAGCCCTCCAACCCACCCCCCAGCAGCTCCCCACCAGCCCTCCTACCAACCCCCCAGCAGCTCCCCACCAGCCTCCTACCCACCCCCCAGCAGCTCCCCACCAGCCTGCCAACCAACCCCCCAGCAGCTCCCCACCACCCTGCCAACCAACCCCCCAGCAGCTCCCCACCAGCCTCCAACCCACCCCCCAGCAGCTCCCCACCACCCTGCCAACCAACCCCCCAGCAGCTCCCCACCAGCCCTGCCAACCCACCCCCCAGCAGCTCCCCACCAGCCTCCTACCCACCCCCCAGCAGCTCCCCACCAGCCTCCTACCCACCCCCCAGCAGCTCCCCACCAGCCTCCTACCCACCCCCCAGCAGCTCCCCACCAGCCTCCTACCCACCCCCCAGCAGCTCCCCACCAGCCTCCTACCCACCCCCCAGCAGCTCCCCACCAGCCTCCTACCCACCCCCCAGCAGCTCCCCACCAGCCTCCTACCCACCCACCACCGGCCCCCCACCAGCCTCCAACCCACCCCCCAGCAGCTCCCCACCACCCTGCCAACCAACCCCCCAGCAGCTCCCCACCAGCCTCCTACCCACCCCCCAGCAGCTCCCCACCAGCCTCCTACCCACCCCCCAGCAGCTCCCCACCAGCCTCCTACCCACCCCCCAGCAGCTCCCCACCAGCCTCCTACCCACCCCCCAGCAGCTCCCCACCAGCCTCCTACCCACCCCCCAGCAGCTCCCCACCACCCTGCCAACCAACCCCCCAGCAGCTCCCCACCACCCTGCCAACCCACCCCCCAGCAGCTCCCCACCACCCTGCCAACCAACCCCCCAGCAGCTCCCCACCAGCCTCCTACCCACCCCCCAGCAGCTCCCCACCAGCCTCCTACCCACCCCCCAGCAGCTCCCCACCAGCCTCCTACCCACCCCCCAGCAGCTCCCCACCCACCCTGCCAACCCACCCCCCAGCAGCTCCCCACCAGCCTCCTACCCACCCCCCAGCAGCTCCCCACCAGCCTCCTACCCACCCCCCAGCAGCTCCCCACCAGCCTCCTACCCACCCCCCAGCAGCTCCCCACCAGCCTCCTACCCACCCCCCAGCAGCTCCCCACCAGCCTCCTACCCACCCCCCAGCAGCTCCCCACCAGCCTCCTACCCACCCCCCAGCAGCTCCCCACCAGCCTCCAACCCACCCCCCAGCAGCTCCCCACCAGCCCTGCCAACCAACCCCCCAGCAGCTCCCCACCAGCCTCCTACCCACCCCCCAGCAGCTCCCCACCAGCCTCCTACCCACCCCCCAGCAGCTCCCCACCAGCCTCCTACCCACCCCCCAGCAGCTCCCCACCACCCTGCCAACCAACCCCCCAGCAGCTCCCCACCACCCTGCCTACCCACCCCCCAGCAGCTCCCCACCACCCTGCCAACCAACCCCCCAGCAGCTCCCCACCACCCTGCCAACCAACCCCCCAGCAGCTCCCCACCACCCTGCCAACCAACCCCCCAGCAGCTCCCCACCAGCCCTGCCAACCACCCCAGCAGCTCCCCACCAGCCTCCTACCCACCCCCCAGCAGCTCCCCACCAGCCTCCTACCCACCCCCCAGCAGCTCCCCACCAGCCTCCTACCCACCCCCCAGCAGCTCCCCACCACCCTGCCAACCAACCCCCCAGCAGCTCCCCACCACCCTGCCAACCAACCCCCAGCAGCTCCCCACCAGCCTCCTACCCACCCCCCAGCAGCTCCCCACCAGCCTCCTACCCACCCCCCAGCAGCTCCCACCACCCTGCCAACCAACCCCCAGCAGCTCCCCACCACCCTGCCAACCAACCCCCCAGCAGCTCCCCACCACCCTGCCAACCAACCCCCCAGCAGCTCCCCACCAGCCTCCTACAACCCCCCAGCAGCTCCCCACCAGCCTCCTACCCACCCCCCAGCAGCTCCCCACCAGCCTCCAACCCACCACCACCGCCCCCACCAGCCTCAACCCCCCACCAACACCACCTGGCACAGCCCACAGGCCACAGGGCACTAGTGAGAGTAGTGACTAGCTAGTTTATAGTTATGAATTTTAATTTTTATATGAATTTTATTTTATGATATACGTGTTTATTATATCGTCAATAAATGATAAATCTAACAACATCTGATGTTGAACATCAATCAAGTCTCAATGTTATACTTTTATTCATTTTCGTAATTTATATTCGTTATTATCTTTTAATCCACTATTTTGTTAGCAAACACATCAAATTTCCTGCCAATTCAATATTCATCGTACATTCTACATCTTAAACTCTTCAAAAACTTGGGATTCAGCCTCAACAGACAACATCAAACATGTGAGTTCATAAATAGTAAATACATTTATGATTTACGTACATTTTATAATAAAAATCAAACTTGAAAAATGAAACTGTACCGAACCTTATGTAATATGTTATACTAGTTAAATAGCCTATAATGACAAATCTACAGGAATACTGTTGGTGCTTTGAAAAGACGTCCTTTTGCGACTCTCACTGTAGACGAGAAGCGAGCAGTTGTCAAGTTTGGCCCTCATAAACCTGTCGTAACGATACAGTATCAAACCAAAGCAGGAAACGTTCAGAATCAGAAACACAATCCTACCGTCAATCCAATGGGTAAGAAACTTACTGCTTAGCAGTATTAATCAATCATGAGTATTCAAATATTATAGTGTAGTCACTATTTGATAAACACATATTAATAAACTGTGGAACATAGCTATCGACATTGGCTCATGTGAAGATTGATATATAGAACTTAGAAGTCATTGAATTCGGACATCCTCAGACAACTTCTTATCGGCTCGTGAATGGCTTACCGTCGACGTAGAAGATAAAAGACTTTACTGCTTTCCCTGTCTCCTTTTTGGAAAAAAGAGAGATACGTGTTGGGTGGAAACAGGATTTCATAGAATAAGCTATATTGGCAGTAGTATGGAGAAGCATGATCAGGCCCGTGAACACCGTAGCGCCGTGATAGATCTGAAGCTCTTCCTGAGAAGAACGAACCATTTTGAGGTTGGGAGTCTCATTTCCATGAACAGTGATGAGATAGAGCGCCACAACAATTTAGTCTGCAGAAACAGGGAGATTGTAAAACGACTAATAAATGCTGTTATCTATTTGGCAAAACAAGAAATGGCGTTCCGTGGACATGATGAAAGTGAAACCTCAGTGAACCGAGGACCCTTCAAAGAGCTGCTGAGGTTGGATAATTCACTGATGTTATAACTTTAATATATTATTGAACAACAGTTACTAGTACCTCCACTATTGTCAAGTATTGTACCATCATTGATAATCGATTTGTTGAAGCTAAAACATTTATATTTTCAGCATGGTAGCTAAGACGGATTCCCTGCTTTTTGACCACCTAGATTCAAGCACAGTGTTCAAAGGTGACAGTAAGACGATCCAGAACGAAATTATTGCTTTGATCGCAACGGTAATACTTAATAGTGAATTAACCTTTTTTTCGTCATCTTTTTGTCAGTCTTAAAAAGAATGTTCTCATTGATAAGTTATAAATCATTAATATATTATCATCATACCTAGATGACCAGAGAGCTCATCAAAGAAGAAGTCAAGTCTGCTGATTTCTTCGCTGTTATTGCTGACGAGACCACTGATGTTAGCACTACAAACCAGCTAACAACGATTCTAAGATATGTGCACAACGGACAGCTGAAAGAACGATTTCTGGGATTCGATAACGTATCTGAAGTTTCAGGTTTGTAATTTAGCTCCAATAATTTTCAATAGAAAACTTAAATTAATCCTTCTTTAACTATGTTTGGCGCAAAATTGTTTTGGATCTATAACTTCAATCTTGTTCCTTCCGCAGGAGCTGAGGGTCTCGCTGGGTTCATACTAAATATTTTAAAAGAATATGACCCCGAATCCAAGCTGGTAGCACAGACATATGATGGAGCTAGTACAATGTCTGGCCGTACATCAGGTGTTCAGGCAAGGATACGTGAAGTGATCAAGAGAGCCATCTTTATTCATTGTATGGCCCACAAACTCAACTTGGCCCTACAAGATGCTACGAAGGCGATATCCAAATGTGTTATATTCTTTGCAACGTTATCAGGAATAAACGCATTCTTCGGTGTCAGCTACAAGAGAACTGCACAGTTCCATAAGTCTTGTCATCTGCATCAGAGTAAGTTCGCTTCAAAATGATTATTGTCGTGATGTCGATTATATGTGGGCCGGTGCTTTTATTTCAAGGCAAACATTTTGTCGTATTAATTTATCTCATGACTCATCAATTTTCTATTCCAACAGCAACCGAACTAGCGGGAGGGAAGAGAAAGCCGCAAGCTGCGAGTTCTGCAACGCGATGGGCTTACAAATCGCGAACAGTAAATGGTATAGTAAATGACATGGAAGCATACAGGCACTGCTTTCAAGAAATTGCCCATGGCACTTCAGCAGTCTGGACTCCAGACTGCCGCAGCACAGCTCAGGGATTTCTGAATAAGCTGGAAGACTTTGATTTTCTTTTTTTATTGCACACTTATCACGATATTTTCAGAATCACCGATATCATGTACAAACAACTGCAGAAAGTCGGCCTCGATCTTGGATGGAGTTCTTCGACCGTCGAGGAAGCTGTTACTCAACTCAAACATCTCGAGGATAACAAATTTGCTGACATCTATGACTGTAAGGTAGACGCTAACCCTCCAGAAACACGCACACGGAGGAGAAACCGTATGTTAACCGATTATATTCATAGAGTGCCTGCAGGAGACAATCCTGAACTGAGCCATCGCGACAGATGTAATGAGCTTTACACCGAGATTTAAAAAAAAACAATATCCTGTATTGAGATTAGATTTGGTAACATTGAAGAACTTAAGTTCTGCAAACTGCTCAATAGCGAGAGTTTCACCAACTTCGGTAAAAAGGACAAATTTCCGGATGGTATCTTGGCTGACTTGGAGAACTCTGTGTACGGCTCCTTGTTCAACACAGCTGCCCTTAAAGATCAGCTAGGCTATCTCTACAATAGTAATATGCCAAGATGTTGTATGAGTGTGACCTGAAGAACGACCTTCCTCAAGTTTACAGATTGACAAACTTAGCTCTGACTGTACCTCTGACAGTTTGCAGTGCAGAGCGATCTTTTTCTGCTCTGAAAAGAATTAAAACCCGTCTGAGGAATACGATGGGAGACGATCGACTGTCGAATCTTGCTGTTATTGCAATTGAAATCCAGCTAGTAGAAAGTTTAGATATCGAGAATATTATTAACCGATTCGCTGCTGAAAAAGATCGTAGAATCGAGTTGACTCTGAGAAATTAGATGCCCAGCAACGATATTGCTGTCCTTCCCTCTGAAGAATTCTAATGAGTTCTCTTTCAAACTTGCATCAGAATACTCATACTCTAAACCCCAGCAGAGGAAGGGTATTTTAGGAGAATCCATCAGTAAATTCAGAGTATTACACAGTCTCACAGCATTAGTTGAAGCAGTGTAAGGTGAAGGTTTCATTCCATTACCTTCCCAACAAAGTGAGTAAACAAGTACAGCACGATAACCTGAGGTAACTTCTTTCAGCTCATGTGGACAACTTGCGTAGTGCGCAACAAACTTACAGTGAGTGCTACTACCAGTGGTACTGTTGTTGAAGACTTTGGATGATTTCACGTGGTTCACAACTAAGTCGCCTCCAGTAAAAACTGAAGGAAGTTGAACAATCAGGGTCCCAAACATGTTCTCTTCTTTTTCAGTGTCTTTATGTTCAGCAAACTTGCCTTCTTTTTCATAAATAAGGAGTTTGTAGATCTTCCCGTATGGCGTATATTGTCGCACCTGCTAGACCTAAACGCCGACTTTATCTTCTTTTGGATAAGAACACTGACCTGTTTGACAAATTCATGATTTTTTATCTCAAACTGGTATGGCTCTAACTGGAAACTATTTCTCACTGAAGTATCAACTAATGTCTCTTCACCCATTCCATAGGGGGACTGTTTGCAAAGCGGCTTCACACAGTTAAATGTTGTGTCATTTAGTGGGAATGGTAAAAGCCCATAGTCTTTCACATCAATCAAAGGAATAACGGGTAATTCAACATCAGGAAGTAAGCCACCAGTAGCAAAGTCTCCAGAATTAGTTGAATGAAGTTTCATCAAAGCTCTGTCTGAGATTTCTCTTAAGTTAGGTTTCACATCCACAAAAAGATTTTGTGGAAACGTCTCCATTGATAGTTTGCTCTATTTTAATGTTGATTGACTCAACAGGTTTTGACCTGAAAAAGATCGCAGAATCGAATTGACTCTGAGAAATTAGATGTTTGGGAGCTTTGTGGATCACTCAAAAATGCATACTATGTGAATCGTTAAAGTACGCTGTGTGGTCCGTACACTTTACAAGTACGCTGTGTGGTTCGTACACTTTACAAGTACGCTGTGTGGATCGTACACTTTACAAGTACGCTGTTGGATCGTACACTTTACAAGTACGCTGTGTGGTCCGTACACTTTACAAGTACGCTGTGTGGTTCGTACACTTTACAAGTACGCTGTGTGGATCGTACACTTTACAAGTACGCTGTGTGGTTCGTACTGCTTAGAACAACTTTTATTATTTGTTTTCTTTCAAGATAAGTATTTTGATACATTTTAATTTTAGGCAATAATGAATAATGAACTTTACATACTTACATAATTTTATTCACATTATATGATTAATGATATATCCCAGGTTAAACAATATGTGTATAGATTTTGAAGCCGCTGCCACGTCTCATGACCTAACCTTGTCACACTTTTCATGTCTCGTGGAAGAAGCACAGAAACAAGTTGACGAACTTGTTGCTCTGAACGCACGTGTCAAAGACTGGCCCCCAGTCCCCGGTAAAGGAGTCCCGTACTCGGATGACGGAGACTTGGAAAACTTGAACAGAGAGAGCGACTGGACAGGTGACATCCTCCCTGAATCGGTATGTTCTTTTGTTGAAGACTTTAATTTTGAAGAATTATCCGTCAGCGAAATCCTCCATCAAATC